ATGAGTCCCAAAAAGTATGTAAAGAAAATTCCATGTGGCTCCTCTGGGGTATGCTGTACTTATGTTCTGTGTAAATATGTATATATGTACATTACAAAGGCTTCAAACAAACATTGCGTTGCTGAGGACTGAAATGTATTTGAATTTAAGCCTAAAACACTTTAAAAAAAATATAGAAAACTGCCTCTTTGGATTACTATTTAAGATTTTCATTCATTGTCCCCTTCTACACTGCATTAGCCTTTGCCCTTCCATGCAGCCTCTCTCCTTCCTTGTCTCTGTTTTGTGCATCTCCATCCTCTGATCTTTCCAACTGTCATGGTTAGAATTTGACTCCTCTTTAATGATTCCTGTTGCTAGGTAACCATCTCATCCATTTCCTGTTCTATCTGGATGTTAGAGCGCCCCTTTTGCATTAATAGCATCTTGATTTTTTTGTTACATGATTTTCCCTTAGTTTAAATCATTCCCAGTTTTGCTGCAAGCCCTTGAGATTCCTTATATTTATCATTTCTCATTCAAAAGACAGCTATAGTATATAGGAGTTCTGAAAAATGGTTTTTTTTTTTTTTTTTACTCCTAACAGTTTACCTTCCTTTGTAACACTGTACAGAGTTATGCAGGTATAGTTTTCACAGAATTATAAAGCAAAGGCTATATATACAATTATCACTTCGGGCTTTAAAAAGTCTAATTGTTTTTTCTATTGTGCAAGATTCCTAGAAATTTAAGTTTGAAGGGAACACTCTTACTTTTTTGCCATCTAAAAAGGCAAGCAGATTGCTGAAAATTATGTAAATTTCGCAGACTTCAGGCTTATATCTTGTTGATTTTATTACAATGTGTGGGCACTACCTGCATGACCAAGGGTCTACAACTGATTGCAAGCATTACATTTCCAAACTGATGAGACAGGCAAAGCATGTGAACAATTGGAGTAACTGCTCACATATCTGTATGTAATGAGATGACAAGTATCCAGGCAGTCTCATAGTTTTTCAGGTGGAGGCAGTTTTATTCTGGGTATACTTGATTTTCACCATTTTGTTTAAAATGTGGTCAGAGATGGTTTAGCTGGAGGACTTGATTAATACTCATCACATTATTTTCGAACATTTTAAAATCCTTGTTTTTAGATGTTCAATATCAAAGGAAACAGAGCATGTGTGTTGGTTGACCTACACCATCTGGGAGCAATACAGGGGCTAATCAGTTGAGTCACTGCTGTCATTCTAAATTTTCAGTTGGGGCATCATTCTCTGAGCAGCCAGGGCAGTAGTTTTGCTGTCTATTATTACAAAAATATTCAAAGTTAAGATGACAGTAAGGATCTTACTCAAAATCTGCTTTAGTTGCTTTATGTCTAACTGTATTCTTGACTCAGAGGTTTAGTGGGATTAGTTAAGAATGAAATAAGATACTTCCTTTGTTTTGAGACCCATTCCATCCTTCATTCTGAATTTCCTTGGTTTTATGAGTCAGCCCCCTAATATTATTCTATAGTAGTTTTTGAAATTGTTTTTAATAAGCCATAAATATGGTTAATGGGTCATAGCAGATTTTCACAGCTGAAAGGATTGGAAGGCGCCTCCTTGGGCCATCTAGTCCAACTCCTTGTATTAGCACAAAGGATTCTACATTATGTTTTTCAGTTTTTAAATTATACATTTATATTGTTCATTTCAATCAGCCAACCAGTTCAAGAGTGAAGGAGGGAAAATTTGGGCAAAGACACAGCAGCAAACCCTTGTGAACAGTACCACATATCTTTAAGGTCAACAAAGAGCAGACCTAGACCTCAATGAAAGAGCCACCTACAGTGTTCAACTTAGCCACAGAAGGAGAAGGAGTTGAGGAGACCCTGCCTGGATTCAAACCTGTGGTACCATAGAGTCCAACTGTTTCACACTTGATGGCTAATTCCATATATCACCTCTCTTGCTTTTCATACCAATGCATTATAACGGTATGAAAAAGCAAGAGAGAGGTGGCATATAGGAGTAATGCATTGTAATGGAGTATTTTTTGTAGGTTTCTGACTCTACAAAACTTCCCTGCAGCTGGAGACAGGTTTTTAGATACCTTTACTGTGCTTCTCATTTCTGCTGGAGCACCTCTAATGAGTTTGCCTTAACTACCTCATAGGCAAACTATCCCACTGACTGTCATTACGGTCAGAAATTGTTTCTAGATAGCTAAGATAAGCTGAAAAATTTGAAGATTAACAAAATTATGCAATAACTAACTTTTGGACTTCTTTGATATAGATTTTGTCTTGGAAGTGAGAAAAAACAATCTTTCTGTAAATGGAAAATCAATTCCATATCCCACAGATGCATAGCATGGCTCCTGATATATTTCTTTCCTCACAGAACATAATCAGTGTTGTAATTATTTTTTCAAGGTATATTTTACTTTTCAGTTCAGTTGCCGCAGTTCTGAAAGATACAGGTATTTCCTTTCTTACTGTGAAGTAAGTAGTCTTCAAGCTGCTGTGCTGTTGGATTGAGGACCTTTGGATGAAAGTCTTACTCCAGGGCAATGGGACTATTCGTCTAGAGTCTACCACATACCTTTCAGAAACGAGCAAGGAACAAAAAGAAAAGGAGTACTTGTGGCACCTTAGAGACTAACCAATTTATTTGAGCATGAGCTTTTGTGAGCTACAGCTCACTTCATCAGATCTGATGAAGTGAGCTGTAGCTCACGAAAGCTCATGCTCAAATAAATTGGTTAGTCTCTACTAACACGGCTGTTCCTCTGGAGCAAGGAACAGTAGCATGAGACTAGTGGAGGTTAAAGGCTTAGGATAACTCTTCAGTGCACTGCCCTCAGAGTTGCGCATAAAGTTCCCAAGAGCAATTAAAAAAGTATCCCTTTGTTCCTCATAAATCCATTTTCATTTAAATTAGGTCTCTCATGCATCATATCCAAGAACTCTGGAAATAGTACTGTCGTATTGGATTTTTTAAATAATTTTTTCTGTGGGTTTCAGTACAAAATAGTGCTCTGATCACACAATCCATGATGTTTGCTTGTGTAGAAATTCATTACACTCTCATAGCAGCAGCAGCCTTTGGGCATATGTTACACATTTAAAACAGTTTAGCTACATATATACACAGTATTATTGGTGTGAGGTAGACACCAGTCTATGTCCCACCAATGGATTGAGAATAATTCCTGTTTTAATACTTTGCATGGTGACAGGTTTCAGAGTGGTAGCTGTGTTAGTCTGTATCAGCAGAAAATACGAGGGTTTCACTTGTGGGTTTTAGCCCACAAAAGCTTATGCCCAAATAAATTCGTTAGTCTCTAAGGTGCCACAAGTACTCCTCGTTTTTTTTGTTTTAATACTGTGGATCAAATCGTGGGCCTATGTCAAGATGCACTAAAGGTCATAGGAGCTGTTCACTTCCATGTATACTGGTTCTGCACTGGACTGACTAACCTTCACAACAGTTGGTCCCAGGGAATCAAAAGGGAGAAGGGTGGAAGGAGGGGACCCGGAGTATTTTTACCCTAGTGGGTTATTTCCTTGTCTTAACTGACAGCTGTCAGCCTCACTGTCTCCACAGGACTCATCAGTCTCCACAGAAATCACTTATTTGGGGAGCAGTTCAACCTGTTCCTTGGAAGGCACTGTTTCTTTCGATGCCAGCTGTGAACTCCCTGGCTACCATATATGGTAGTTGGTAGGTGGAGTCACAGACGCTGCTTCTTGGAAGAGGGAGTGGTTGGGCCAGCTTTGAGAGGTTCTTGGCCCTCTGGACTAGTGTTGGATTCCACAGCTCCAGCTCCTGAATACTCTTTGATGCAGTAGCTAATGATATGGAATTTAACATTAATTTATAAAATAAAGTAGTGCATAAACTGGTGCTAACAAGTGTCCCTGTATCCTCGTTGCCATGACAAAGAGGCTAATTTCTTAAGGTGTTGGATAGAAGTTTATAAGAAGAAAATAGTGAAATAATACTTCCTTTTATATATTGTTTAATTTCCCGCTGTGTGTCATTAAATAAATATCATGTGATGTTATAACAATGCTTCTTTGGTAAAATAGATTCATAGATTCATAGATATTTAGGCCAGAAGGGACCATTATGATCATCTAGTCTGACCTCCTGCACAATGCAGGCCACAGAATTTCACCCACCACTCCTAAAAAAGACCTCACACCTATATCTGTGCTATTGAAGTCCTCAAATTGTAGTTTGAAGACCTCAAGGAGCAGAGAATCCTCCAGCAAGTGACCCGTGCCCCATGCTACAGAGGAAGGCGAAAAACCTCCAGGGCCTTCCAATCTGCCCTGGAGGAAAATTCCTTCCCGACCCCAAATATGGCGATCAGCTAAACCCTGAGCATATGGGCAAGATTCATCAGCCAGATACTACAGAAAATTCTTTCCCGGGTAACTTGGATCTTACCCCATCTAAAAACCTGATGTAATACTGCACCATTTAAAAATACTAGTGTGCTCTCTATTAATCATTTATCTATATTTAAAAATATGCTTTATGTGGCTTTAATGCAGCAGTGCCCAAACTTTTCCGGTCCTGCCCCCCCACTACCAGTAATGAAACCTGTCCATGCTTCCCCTCCATTATTGCACAGCCAAGGCTTCCTCAGCAGAGGTGCTTGGGCTGAAGGCAGAGCTGGGATGGGGTGGAGCTGAGGCTACAGGTGGAGCTGGTCTGGGGGCGGAGAGGGAATGAGGGCAGAGCTGGGCTGGCGGTGGAGCAGGGGACGGAGTGGAGTTGGGGCTGGGTGGTGCTCCCACCCTGCCCCTCATGGGGGGCTGGCCCAGGCCCCACCGTGCACCCCCCCAAACATTCCTCAGTCCGTCCCCCAATGGGGGGCATGCCCTACAGTTTGGGGATCACTGTTTTAATGAAATACATGAGTTTGTTATGATAATACAGTTGTCACAACTTCAAATGACCTCATTTACATTGTGAAATATAATCTGTCCCAACATAATGGGTGTTCTTGTTTCATAGGTGATAAAAGTCTATAAAGCAGCAGTACAACAGACCTTGGATGTCCTCTTCCTTCCTGAAGGAAAAGAATTTCTTACAAGCACGGATGCAGTAAGCCGGGACTCAGCTGACCGTACAATCATTGCATGGGATTTCCACAGCGCTGCAAAAATTTCCAATCAGATTTTTCATGTAAGGTTAACACTTACTATTATTAGAATGCTGATTTAGTATATTACATTGTGAGGAGAGTAAAAAGCTTTTGATCTTTCCTAAACTGCTGTGAGTTATTGATCAGTTTTGCTGCAAGTAGGGATGCATGCAGCTTATATTAAATTACAGTACTTCTGTATGATTTGAAATAAGCCATTATAATGTTACTGTGATTTGTAAAATGCTACTTACTAAAAAGCAAGAACTGTTTTTCTATTTTAGCAACCCTTACTTATTCTCTGTAACTATAAGTGTGAAGACAGGTTTCAGAGTAACAGCCGTGTTAGTCTGTATTCGCAAAAAGAAAAGGAGTACTTGTAGCACCTTAGAGACTAACCAATTTATTTGAGCATGAGCTTTCGTGAGCTGTAGCTCACGAAAGCTCATGCTCAAATAAATTGGTTAGTCTCTAAGGTGCTACAAGTACTCCTTTTCTTTTTAGAAGTGTGAAGTGGCCTAGAGAATTGTGAGTGCCCTCCTTGGAAAAGTATTTCCGTTTCACTGCCTATTCACTGACATATGAGCTAGGTTTAGGCAGGTACACAGGTAGAAATGTCAGTGTGTCCTGCCAACTGTTTACCAAAGTATTTGTTACAGTATCACGTTTCCCGCTCCAGTACCTTTCCCAGGACAGCAGAAGTGATGTATTTGGGGTGATCACAGGTGAAGGATTTGAGCAATAGCATGGTATATTCATGTAAATACACAGCAAAGGAAATAGCAGAGGCAAAATGGTGCTGGCAAAAAAATTACTTTAGCAAACACAGGTGTAACATTCCTTACAATATGTAGCAGTCCAACCAAGTAATTCATTTACATGCTGAATTATCAGGAAAGGCTGGCAGCTTCACAGGACAGTTAGTGAGTTAGTCCTTGCTCCCTTAGGCTCCTTTGAAAATCCCAGCCTAATCGCTTATGTAAGTTAAAGAATGCATGAGTGAACTGGGTTCAGGTAGTTCTACTTTTTTACTGGAAAGAACTGTACTGGCAACAAGATGGAGTGGATGATCTAGTAAGACACTTGTATCTCTAATTTCCACAATGATGTCTTTGTTCAGTTTTGGAGCAGCACACATCCTGGGTATGCAGTTTGACAGCATGCTAGTCTTTTGCTCTGGAAAGAAAACGCTTCAGTGAATAAACAAACTGCAAAGCAAGCATGTTCAGTGTACTGAGAAGTTTTAACAAGACAATTCTTTTGGAAATAGAGCATCACTGAATGCGGCAGTTACTTCACTCTTTAATATGGGAAATAAGTACTCTTAGTTTTGTAATATTCAATTTCTAACCTTCAAGATGGGAGTGTCTGGACTTTACTACTATGCTAGAATGCGGATGAAAAACACATCATCTCACTACTCATGAATTCACATTAAATAGGCCAAACTATCTATTTTTAATGTACTTTGTTCTGCAAAATAGCTGAACCCTTTTTGATCAAACTTTCCCCCAAAATTTGACTGGAAACGGGGTTCTCATTTTTCACTCCTACATCTTTTCTGCCCGTTCTATCCTGTTTTACTATCATTTCCCAAGATTGCTTAAGTTTTTCTCCCTGTGCCTTTCTTTTGTGTTTCCTCTCTCTAATACTCTTTACTTAACCAAGGGTTTGTCTATGTGGAGATTTAGTGTGTGGTAAGCCTGGTTTAAATCTATAGCGCGCCTGGTTGCTGTACACTAACTGGTTGTGTGGATCCTGCTACTGTGCACTGAAAGTCCCATAGTGCAGAACTGTGGAACTTTTAGTGCTTGGTAGGAGGGTCCACATGGCCAGTTGGTGCACAGCAAGCTGGTGCACTGCAGATTGATACCCTGGCTTGCTATGCACTAAATCTCCATGTAGACAAGCCCTCAATCCCCTAAGACTTTTTTCCTCTTGTCCCATCTTCTACTTCCTAGTAATACTTCACCATTTCTCATTTGTAAATTTACCTTTAAGCTTTTATCTTTTTGCTGTCCAACATTTGAAAGAACATAGCATTCCTTTTGCCCAACACAATAATCTCAGATGTTTTCACTGTGCATAAACTGTGATTTATATTGAAACATAAAGTTGTACATTAGAGCTAGAGATGAGCTAAAATCAGAACCTCTATTCCAATCGCCCTCCTCCTTAGAATTTCAGGGGTGGGAAGTTTGTATTTGTATCCCTGGATCTCAACCTGCCCCTGTGACTTTGGCTCGATAATGAAATCAGAGGAGGCCCTTTTTCTCACTTTGGTTTGGATTTGGCTCATAAAGTTACCATCATTCACAATTCTAAACACTGGCCTAAGGCTAATGTGGATCCAAAAGTCACCTCCTTAGTCTCCATCTCTTCCTACAGCTGAACATTTTGAACTGAAAATAGTCGTGTTGAAAAATGACATCATTTGTGACTTCTGACGTCAGTAGGCTTAGAAAGATCAGTTGTAATTAACAAACTGTTTTCTTCATGATACAAGTAGCAACAAAGAGGTATTTCGTACTAGGGGGTAAATCTTGCCCCTGCCTCTGTAACCAGAGTAGATTCTCTGGCAGCAGAACTGGGAGGGTTTAGGGAGTTAAACTTGGACTATGGAAGGGGGGTGGGAGTAGGAGTAGACGACCCACTGCTACATGGAACCTTTAGTCTTCCTCAGGCCCCAGAAGCTGTTTGAGTGCTTTTGGGCTGAAACTGTCTTTTTAAAGGGGAGAAAGGGAATATTCCTTCCCTATTCATTTGCCCAGCTCCTGCTCAGCCCAGCTAATTAGGGTAGATACCAGATTTAATATTTGCACCATGTGAACTTTCAGGAGAATGTGTTGAGCAAAGTGGGCATGGATTCCTTTTAAGTTTCTTCATGGTTACATATCTAAAATACGTCAGTTCTCACCCATCTTCTAATCATTCAGATATGTTAGATCTACAAAAGATTGCCTGATTAATTTGAACAAGACTGTATTTCAGGCAACAAAAATATAGGAATGTCAATCTTGTCAACTATTTTTTAGGAGCGTTATACCTGTCCGAGTCTGACTCTGCACCCTAGAGAACCTGCATTTGTTGCTCAAACAAATGGAAACTACATGGCATTGTTTTCTATCCAACGACCATACAGAATCAACAAAAAGAAAAGATATGAAGGGCATAAGGTATTATTCTTCACCGGAAACTTAAAGTATTCAAGACTATAAGTAATATAACCAATTTCTCTTCTGTTAACGTGTCTGCTGATACTGTTGATTTATAAACCAGGGTAGATATTAATTGACTTACTTCTTTTCCTGTCTGGTTTCCTCTAATGTAGTTAATTTAGAACGATACACATTATGAAGACAATGGAGATTAAAATAATGGAAGACTTTGTGAATTGTTAATAGCTTCACCAATTATTGATTGACTTGTGCTAACAATTTGAAGTCGTAATAAGTCTGTCTTAATAAACACTTGGGGAAATAATTAGAGCATATTGTGTAAAAGAGATATTTTTAGTACATTAATGCATTTTCAGGAGGTTACATTAAATTTCCCTAATTAGCATATTGATTTACTCTTATTCTTGACTCTTTACAGGTGGAAGGATTTGCAGTGGGCTGTGAATTTTCTCCAGATGGAACACTTCTAGTGACAGGAAGTTCAGAGGGCAAAATATTTTTCTATAACTATCACACTGCTAGAATTATTCACACTTTGTCTGCACATAACCAGGCTTGTGTGAGTGCAACTTTTCATCCAGTCCTTCCGTCAGTTCTTGCAACATGTGACTGGGCTGGAGATATCAAGATCTGGCAATAATAAAACAGGGTTCCCTTTCAGAGTGAATCCAGTTAGTCCACATTAAAGACACGGGTGCTGGTGTTTCATCATAAATAAACCAGTGTATGCAATTTGAATTTTTCTTATGAATATGAGGGAATCTGTTGTCATTTTGTATCTTCCATCCAAGCCTTCTAAGAGTAGGATTTTCAAAAGTCCTTCGAGCTGGTTTAAGTCTGGAAGTCAATAAGAGTTAGGCTAACACTGCGTGTTTTTGAAAATATCATCTAAGCTTTAAGCCTAAATTTGTTTTTTATCAGTTGATGCCTAATGGGGGTAAAAAGGAGGCTTAGTGGTAAATATTAAATTATACCAAAAATTAAAAAAAGACTGCAGCTTGCTGCTCTTAGTTATCTTAACATTAGGGTCAGTGTTCAGGTTAATATAATAATATTTTACATTTATAACATCATTTTTCAACCCAAAAGATCTCTACTTCCATGCAGTTCAGGATCACCATGCAGAAGAAATCTTCTCCTAAAGTGCAAAGGAAAAGGATCTCCTTTTCTACAGACCTCTGTTAATTATTTAAGATCCATATCACCAATTATATGGTTCTTCTTCTTTAACTGGTATAAATTGTCATAGCACCATTGAAGTCAATAGAGCTATAGTAATTTAGATCAGCTAAAGATCTCTCCCAAATATTTTTACATAGTCAATTGTGTGTACGAGAGAGAGAAAGAAAATTCATCTTGTGCCTTTTAGTGTCAACTTTGACTCACAAGATATACTAACTCTTTAAACATATACATAGATTATTTAGAAGTTGTCTTTATATTGTGATGATTATGTTGAAAAGATAAATATGTCTCGTGTGTCAGAGTAAAGGCTGCTGCCAGAATGTGTGAGATGAATTTTCACATATCCGTATTCTGGTTAATTGATTTTAATGAACTACAGTGTTACAGAATATTTATGTCCATTTTAACTGAATATTTCCAGATTTTTTTAACTAGTATTTTTTATGACAAAGCTGTTGTTTGCAGATGCATTATTCTGTGATCTAACTCTAAATTAAGGAAGCATTTTGTTTGAGACTATCAACTAGAATAGAAGAGAGCATGTGCCACAGAAATGAAAGGGGGGAATCCTTTTTCTAATGAAACAAAGACCTGAATTTCAAACATGTGGTGGTCAGAACTGTAGGATAGTTAAGCCACATATCCACATTTTGCTATGGACTAACTAGAAAAAAGAAAGTAAAAAGAGATGGGAAGGGGAGCATCCCATCACTTTTTGCCTCTAATTTGTTTGCTGCCATCATTGGCATATCAAAGCTAGTTCTCTCCCTATTAATTCCATTATAGTATTTCAGTCTATGAAAAAGAACTTTATTCAGATACTGGTAATATTGTAGCTCCATATTAACCCATGTATATTGCTATATCATAGAATCATAGAAATGTAGGGCTGGAACGGACCTTGAGAGGTCACCTTGTCCAGCCCCCTTTGTGCTGAGGCAGGACCAAGAAAACCTCAACTATTCCTGACAGGTGTTTGTCTAAGATGGTTTTAAAAACCTCCAATGACAGGTATTCCACAACTTCCCTTGAAGCCTATTCTAGTGCTTAACTACCCTGATAGTTAGAAAGCTTTTTCTAATATCTAAGCTAAATCTCCCTTGCTGCAGCTTAAGCCCATTATTTCTCTTTTCTTCAGTGGATGTGGAGAGCAACTGATCAATCCCCCTTATAACAACCCTTAACGTTTTTGAAGACTGTTATCAGGTCCCCCCTCAGTCCTCTTTTCTCAAGACTAAACATGTCCAGTTTTTTTTAACCTTTCGTCATAGTTCGGGGTGTCTAAACCTTTTATCGTTTTTGTTGCTGTCCTCTGGACTCTCTCCAATTTGTCCACATCTTTTGTTTTAAAGTGTGTTGGACATAGGCACTGACTCCATGGGTGCTTCAGGGCTGGAGCACCCACGGGGAAAAAATGGTGGGTGCTGAGCACACACTGGCAGCCCCCCTATCAGCTGTCTCCCACCCCATCCCCCAGCACCTTCAGCCCCCTGGACCCCATGGATCAGCATCTCCCCCTCCCTCCCTGCACCTCCCACCCACCGCAACCAGCTGTTTCGCAGCATTCAGGAGGCTGGGAGGGAGGAGTGAGGACGCAACGCATTCGGGGGAGGGGCTGGAACTGGGTGGGAAGAGGTGGGTCGGGGTGAAGCGGGGGCGGGAAGAGGCGGGTCAAGGGTGGGGTGGGAAGAGGTGGGACATTGGGGGAAGGGGTGGAGTGGGGGTAGGCTGACCAGCAAATGTGAAAAATCGGGACGGGGGTGGGGGTTAATTGGCGCCTACATAAGAAAAAGCCCCAAATATCGGGACTGTCCCGATAAAATCGGGACATCTGGTCACCCTAAGTGGGGGCAGGGTCTGGGTTGGAGCCGGGGGTCAAGCACCCCCCCCGGCACTTTGAAAAGTCGGTGCCTGTGATGGTGGCCAAAACTGGAGATATATATCTTTTAATGAATGTACATATGATATATGTTTGTAACCTACCTGGGTCTAAAAAAAGTAAATATATAAATAGTGTATATATATTTATGTATTTAAATGCCCTGACACAAAATAAGACTTCGTGTATGATATGTATTCATTCAAATAGCAAATCATCTACTTACAGAGTGAAGCTAAATAAAATGAAAACCCAACCACAGTCTCTGAACTGGTAAATAGAGAGCTGCACAGATATAAAATTTGGATAAACATCCATCTGCAAACATGGTCCAAGGATATCTGCAGATATAAAGCAGATATCTGCAGGTTTGCAGGGCTCTACTGATGAAATATTAAATTCTTAAACCATTAAAAACCACCACCCTCTTGTTGAGCTCTATTGGAATCAAGGTGAGCTGAAATGCTTTTTAAATACATATAAAATCTGATTCATTAAGCACCAAGTCCTCCTTATCTTTACTCACGCAGGTAGTGCTTTGGGAGTCAATGGGATGACTCACTTGAGTCAGACAAGTAAGATTTAGCCATCAGATAATATGTGGTTAGAATTAAGAATTACAAATCAATGCTTCTGTTATAAAATATAATTATTTAAAAATAATGTATCCTTTTATTTTTCCACCTTGGATTGAGAGCAGGGTTCTGTGTTTCAAATGCAAGAGTTGATGTCATCACTATCACCTATAGCGTGCACAGTTTTATCCATATGTCTTTGCCTGAGACGTTTGTAATATGCCCATCACCAGAGCTGATGGAGTTAAGGCTAGCACGAACTTTTGCAGTGAAGGCCGTGGTTTACTTTTAAAACGCATTAATTTATAATAGTAATCTTGTGCCTATATTTTCTTGAGCCATAGTGCTCCAAAATGATCCAGGCCTGTGCAGAGTCCCACTAATTTCAGAAGGACTCCACATGTGCTTTGCAAGATCAGGACTGTAGGGCCTTAACCTGCACCACAGAAGTCAACAGGATTTTATGTCCCAAACAGTTGATAGTATTCAGTTTTATAGAGCAGTTCAGTACCATCTTTAAGGTTTGTTTCGGCTGTTGGTCTTGAGAGTCTGTTTATTCATGTTTGTGTTGTATATTTACAAATAGAGTGTTAAGGTTCCCAGAGCAATTTAACACTCTTCTTTGTGTTGGTAATTTGAATAAAAAGAAAACAAATTAATCCATAGAGTTATCTTTGGGCGTCTTATTTTGGACATATTTCCATCATTCTTCCTATTTGCTTAGAATGTTGCATATCTTCTTTATTCTTCATGACTCTATAGTTAAGGCTGAGTTCCATTTTGCACTTAAAGAAGAGATTTAGCCTCTTGTTGTTCATCTAAAATATTGTGTATCCTCTCCAAACTTATAGCATTTACTATTTGAGTAAAGAATGAATATTCTGAGAATTTACAAATAAATCCGTTACTTTGAGTTTGTTAGTTTTAAAATAATTCCTTTGAGAAATTTAGCCTGTCAGGTTTTTTTGACCTGAATGATCTTAATAATGGAACAACAGACTCAGACTTTCAAAATCTTGTGCATATGCTGTATTTGAAAATAGGCTGTAATGAAGCTTAGTTATTAATAATAGTTGTAGCTAATGGTTAACTCAAATAGGCTAAAATAGGGTTCAACAACTCAGGTAGGGGTATTGTAACATCAGAGGTAATTCAACCAGTCATCACTCTTCCTCTGTAACTAATTTGCATGCAATAGCTATATTAGTTGTAATGAGTAAGTGGTATGAGAGACACTGGAGATGTGTCAAGAATTCTAATTGGCAGATGCACTGCTGCCTCAGCTCCTCTGTGCACTAAGGCAGCCCTGCTGGGAAACTGAGAAGAGTGCATGGATGTCCAGAGTCATTGGGACCCAAGGAATGGGTTCCCCTCACCACTTCACATAGCTCTCAGTAACAGCTCTCTAAACCAATACATTGATGGCAAATTAAGGACCCAATTCATCAGTACACTAAAGTTGCTTTGTGTTGCTCTGGTGTACTGGTGAATCTGCCCTCTAAAGTTCAATAAATATATTAATTACTTAAGGTTGATACAAAATACCCAAAATCAGTAGAAACATTGCACAATAACATTCGTTTTGGGTCTCTTGTTTGCGTCTATGTATGACATTTTTAATAATTTTTGAAAACCAAGGAAATTTTCACACAACAAACTGCATTAATATCAAATTAAGGTTGAGAATACATGTTAGTAATTTAAGAATACAAATAATTACAGATATGTTATAATTATACCAAACCTAGGCATTATAAACTCAGGAAGTTCAAAGTTAAAGTGATACAAAAAATATTCAAATATTTGAGGTACGGAATACACAAGAAAGGTACCCAGGCAACTTTAAATATATCCTGTAGGCACACCATGAAAAGAAAAAATATAGGGAAATGTCATTAAAATCAGTTTAATCTAATCTGGACCAGAAACACTAAAATGCCTTAGTTTTTATGCAGTGCAGCTAAGATTGTTCGGGTGCCTTAAATGTGCATTTCCATACCATTTCTTTGAAGTGTAATCTTAACGCTGAATTTCCTGTGTTTGTGTTACTTGGTTTTGGGACCCTAGCTCCATGTTAGCATAATTTTTTGCCTTTGAAT